CCAGCACGCATGACGACATCACGGCGATTAACGACCCGGACTGACAGGCCATCACCGCATCAATTAAAACCCCGGCGGTGGTTGCGAGAGCTGTTAGTTACAGTGCACATATGGTCCCACGGCAGCTACGTGCTGTAAATACTGCACTCCTTGTGCCACCATTACCCTTATCTGAGACTGCCTCTGATGATTAATTCGAGTGAGAATCCGAAACCACAGGCCGATAACTTTGTTCCAGTGATCGCATCTTCGTCTTCTCAACATTGTTTTATTTACCTATCACATTTCATCCCTCTAGGTCGCTCTAATTGAAAAATTTATCGTATCATCACGAAGTGACTGTTGCAGTTAACTAAGAGGTCATGAAATTTCGTGACGTCATTAAATTCTGTACGTCTTCTCGCCTTCGCCCTGTTAAAATTCCGGTTGAGTCAACGCCTATTAGTTGTCACACAGCAGACCCCCAACTTGGTTGCGTTAGTCACTGACAGGACAGTAGCGAACTCTCCATCTCCTTGCATGTCTGCTGTCGTGGCAGTCCAGCTTGTCTCACTGGGACTCGCAATCCGCGTGGGACCAGTCTATCGATCGATTTTACGCGTTAGAGACCCGGAAAATACGGGCGATTAACAAAGAGATCCGGGTTGGTGATGGCTTGCAAAACGCACCCGAGTTAACGATGAGCGGCAGAGGGAAGAGGACTGAGGCCAAGATAATCGCCCACGCCTGGGCCCCGGATGAGAACTAGGCCAATCGATTTATCGAGCTGGCGCCGGCGTGCAGAGTCCTGCACGGTCACCTCTAGGTTTGGGCCGTAGGTCGATGCTTGGTTAGTACGCCCCCTACAACTACCGCTCGTTCCGTTGTTGCTGCTACCTTTCACGACGGACTCCTACGCGAGCCCGAAGGCTCAGAACAATGGACAGACTGTTCCAGTGGTCGACCAGTCTTCTTATACATCTGGAAGTCGAACTTTCGCCTCCAGACTAAGAAACTGTCTTCTTCACGCCGAGGGTGAAACTGGTTTAGCAGACAGGATAGGCCCTGCGCCTAAAAGTGTACCCTAGTCCACCTGAAGAGACCACAACAAGAAAAGGAGACTGCTTGCAAGGGTAAAGCTTTATTTCTCAAAACAACTCCGGCAACGGAGTAAAAAAGGCAAACGAAACTCAGAAGGCCAAACACAAAAAAGACTATTTGGTAACAATGGCGCACAAGTGACCAGTTCTAGGATCCAGGAGAGAAGAGCTATTAAATTGTCACGGCGCTTGGCAGGGAAGGGGAACGCTCCCCCACCCCCCCTCTCACAGGGCCATCATGGCGAGTTCCTCGCTGGAAGAGTCTACGATCGTGGCGAGGTCTGGATCATCGGCGAAGAGGGCCTCCGGATCGACCTCTAGGTAGCGTCTTACATGTCGAAGAAATTGGGCCGCCATAGCTTCGTCTACGAAGCGCGCGTCTGTAGAGAGGGTGAGAGCCAGTTCAGTCATGCTCTCGAACCCCTGCTCGGACACCTTCGACGGAGTAATAGACTTTACGCCTCCACCCACGGCCAAAATTGCCACCTGGGGAGGGTTTATGATGGCGGTGAAGTCGCGAATGCCAAACATGCCCAGATTGGAGATCCTGTCGATAGAAAGATGATGGAGGGATGGAGTTTGATAAGGGGGGGGGGGGGCAAGTACTGCAATAATCAAGATGGACTGATAATTACAGCAGCTGTAGTCGGTTGACAACGCAATAGAACAAGAGTTCCACAGAAGTGTAATGGGAGGGGTCGATTACGCTGTCCTGGTCCCAAGTGTAAGCGCAATTTGGGCATTACAAGTAAAGCTGAAGGAGGATGCTGAAATCGCCAATGGGAAAGTAATCAAAGTTAAAACGGTTTAGAGGTTGGAGTAGTTCTTGGGTTTGGGTTAGTGTCACGTTGAGAATTGAGTTTAGGGTTAGGTTTTGTGTTAAATTTAAGGGTTCCGGTTGGAGTTAGGGTTTGAATTGCAGTTAAGGTGTACGTTTAGTGTTAAGGTTGCGGTTTAGTATTAGGGTAGGATTACAGTTGAGGTCGGGTCTAGGACTAATGTCAGGATTAGAATTAGGTTCAGTTTTTAGGCTACCCTCAGGTTCGGGATATTGCTGCACCGCATGTCCCGCCAGCCAAGGTCTTTTGCGGGGATTCTAGGCTTCCTTCAATCTCGCGGCAGATTTGTCATACGTCCGGTTACCTTCTATGTTACAGCCTCGGCTACTTTTCCCACAAACGATTTCAACATCCTGCTTCGACTTACTTTTCTTTTAATGCCCACATTGCGCTTACACTTGCAACCAGGACAGCGTAATCGACCCTTGCCGCGTACGATGCATGCGATGAACTCGAAACAGTTGCTGTCGCATTCTCTTCCTTCATTAAAGTGAAAACAAAGGTCTTGCTCTCTCTTCGGCATTGCAGAGGACCAACTACAACTTTGGTCACAAGGTCAAAGAAAGGTTTGCAGTTAGTTCAGTGGTGATGCTGCAAGACGTAAAACTGCAACTCACAAAGCATTAGTCGAAAGTCTAGAATTTGCTTCGAAACGGAAGAGAACACCAACCGACTAGAAGACACGTATCCCAGGTAGCCTTTTATGGGAGATAATAAGGTGAATGACTCGAGTTCCTGGACCCGTGGATATGGACTACGCGCGCAGCCAGGAAGACGTCCCGAAATGCCTAAATTAGGAGGCCTGCAAGCCTAAGCATTTAAAACCCTCAAACAGACAGTTATCCTTGCCTGCGTTAGTAGGGGGTGAATAAACTAGAAAACGAGGCAGAAGGGAATTGCCACTGCATCCCTCTCCCTCTCTCTCTAACCCTACGTTATTTACTATTTGTTTGAAAAGGGTAAGTCAAGCGCACCGATAAAAATAACGTCTCTGCCCCATCAGGGGTGGACAGGAGCAATCAATGGGTTGGAAAGGGAGGTCCCCCTGATAAAACTAATAGTAAAATCTTTCCCATATTACAATTGTCGCTGGGGTCTACTTCCTCAATGGGCTTACATATAATCCTTGTCCAGCCTTAGATTGGTTATAATGCAAAACAGATTCTAACAGGCGGAGATTACCTAACATGTCGATAAATCTACATTTAGGGTGTCTTACAAAGACAGGTATACTTGTGAAGAGAAACATGCAGGAGGCTCCGATCACAGAACTTCGGCTCAGGAGGGAGAGGATGTCTACCTACTGACCAAACTGCAGGACCTCCAGTGTGGGCTAGTCGCGAGAAAAGTAATATCCCGCGCCCAACGAGGAAGCTGCCGGGAATAATATGCGGTCAGAGGTAGCAGGTTGCAAGTAAAGCAAACCATGGCAGGGTTATGACACGGTGAATCTTGCCTGTCACCATATAGATTTACACCCGCCGCCTGGAATAGTCTTGGGACCTTAAATGATGTGTCGACGGGTTTAATGGAGAGTTCAGACTGCGAATGCGTGAGACTATTCACTCACCAATCTGCCCCACGCACAGTCATTGCCCGGTAGACCACAGCGAAACCGCGCACTTCAACGGCCGGACAGCTATGGTCCGTGCGCTCTAAGCTACGCAGATCTACAACACTTGGCAGGCGCTGATGCTGCCGCTTCTGGGCCCCGATTCATGCTAGCGTTCGCTACCACAACGAAACACTGTTTTCTACATTCTGTTTGTCTGACTCATGACTGGAGAACGCAGTTATGGCGGGTGGTGATCAAAATCACGCTCAAACTGACCTAACTAGTGAGGAACGTGAGGTCACCCTCAGTCAGATGTTGAAAAAGGCTGCCTAACAGGTTCGGACTGCCGTTTGTTGCCGGAAACCAGTACGAACTCCACCAACGTAGACCCGGGAGCGGGAGGCAAGTATAAAGTGTGAACAGACGTTGGTCGATGCTTACGTGAAACTGCCACCAACGAATTCTTGGGGCTGAAGTTTGTTGTCACGGGCCTTGGCAGCCAACTCCTTGACCAGAGAGGAGATGCCCGAGACAGGACGAGTATCCGCCGAGGGCACAATGGGCGTGATGAGGCCGGAGGGTGTGGATACAGCGACGCAAATGTCCACATTGACTAACCGTTGGAGGCTATCACCGGAGGGATTGCTGACTCCGTTCATGTCGGGGACCAGCTGAGGCAGGGGGAGGTGAGATTGAGCTTATTACCAGAAAGGAATACCACCCGGACTTCCAGGGAATGTTAATAACTAAAGCAAGACATCAAATCGGGTCACTCCAAATGACGGATTGCCACTCAAAGCCATCGAGGCGACAAAATCCTTGTGAGAGTAATCACGACCATTTGGTCGCAGTGACTCGAGTCATGAATAGAAGGACCCGGTTAAAATCTTACGCTTACCGCAGCCCACTTGTCGACGTCTGCATGCGTTATCGATATGTACACGCATCCTTTATCCACTTTCACACACTGCCTTTACGATGATCAAACACATGCCGGCCCGACGCCAACGTCATGCATCGATCAAAACGCGTGTAGTGGTCACAACCCGCCTACCCCCTCCAGTTGCGTCACAAAAGTCCAAAAGCCCATAAGCACGTAACTATCTCTCTATGCCCCCAAATTCTTCTATTTCATGGACGAATCACACACTCGGATGACAATTTGACCAAATTTTGACGAGCTCACTCGTACGTGAAGAACGTCTAGGAGAGCGTTGACAGCCTTCTCACACCACTCGCAATGGGAGTTGCACACAGACCGGAGGCAACCATCAGGTGTCAGGTCATGAGACCGCAAGACCCACTACCACGACAGGAAACATCCTGGGTCGTTTACCGGATCTGGTGCAATTGCGGACAAAGCAACTACGTCAGAGAAACTGCAAGATTACTCCAAACGCGAATGACCGAACAAGCGGTAGCAGTGGGAAGTGACGCTAGCTCCGACATCGCGGCGCATTCAACTGGACCCGGCCGAAATTCCCGCAAGTTTCGAGCTGCTTCAGTCATCGTCCAGTGACCCGCATTCACTTAGCAGGCGCAATGACTTTCCGCCCCGCTGCGATTTTGCCTGAGCAAAGTAATTAGCCACGTGAGGGCGCGGACGACCAACAGTTCCGGCGGCAGTGAGCTAAAGGGTCGAGTAATTGTCACGCCAATAATCAACAACGGTGATAAAATCACGGCCATTAACGACTCGGGTACGGACTGACATGCAGTCATCGCACCCAGCGATGAACGCAAGTGCTACTAATTAATGTAGGCATACGGTTACCGGGCCATTGTCTCCTATAAATACTGCGCTCCTTGTACCTCCAGTACCCTTTTCTGCCGCTGTCTCTGACGATGGCTTCAAGTTTGAATGTGAAACGTCAGGCCAATACAGTTCTTGTCCCAACGATCACATCCGCTTCTTCTGAAGGTGACCATTTAAAGCGTGCCTTAATAAATTATAAGGTGGGTGGGGAGGCCACGTTGCGACAAAAAGTTGTCCTTTATTCTGTATTACTTCGCGGTGGCAGGAGCCGGGCAAGGCAGGCGACCATGCAGCCCTGCCGCGTAGTCACCCCTCTCTCTCCCTCTCAATGGCCGCGGTTGCGTGCACATTCGCCCACTGCAGAACAAAGCAGCGTGGCCGAAATTTGGCTCCACGCCACGCGAATGATGGGGCGCGCAGAGAGGCGCGGAATGCCTGCCGCCGAAAGCAGGTACGTGGTTGACTAAGCGAGAGCGGCGGACGGCAGCTTTAGGAGCTGGTTATGCCGCCGTCCCCAAAAGCCCCGGTAGGCATGCATCGATGTGGCCGCACTGATGTCTTTTATGGCACAACGCCAGGCAAGCGCCCTGAACTCGCTGCTTGGAGGCGGCCTGCAGGTTAAACAAGCGGATATGACACGTCAGCAAAGACGGGGAATAAACTTGTAATTTCTGGCTTGTTGGTCGTTGTTGGCTAGTTATGCATAAACTACAGGTTTGATAAAGTGGGAGTGTGGAGTTTCAGCCAGCAAGTATTGTCAAAATGCTATGAGAGTGATGTTTAATGAGCCCATCAGATTTTAAGACGAAATTCGGGAAATCCCGTTTGCTTTTGGGTCTCTGGTCCAGAGACCTAAAGACAGTAACCGAGGAGTCGTACTCTTGAAGAAGAACACACTTTCAATGGCAACTTCTGATGACAGCAAGGCAGCATAAGGAAAGTAGTGTAAACGGAAGTAAAATAAGTTGACGGCATTTAGTGAACTCAGAACTGTTAAAGAAAGGCGATAGAAAAAAACAAAGTACGAACATGAAGTGAGCACTTTTGCTTCAAATTAATCGCGCGCGTAGGGTCGAGCATTGGAGCCGCGTGTTTACTCGTCTGAGCTGTGTGACGGGATGATCAACTACTCCTGAGTTGCTGATGCTACCCTTCAAGCGGGGTCACAAATTCAATTTGAAAGCCACGATAACTGCCCAAGCTGAGGGAGAAACAAGCTGTGAGGTGGATGAAACTTGCGTGGGCACATCGACACCACGCCTGCATGGGGACCCTGTCGATTGGTTAAACTGTCCTATAGCTGCCGATGACTGTATTGCCGTGTGCTGACAACGAGCTCCCACTCGGCTTCGAAAGCTCAGAAAAGCGAATAAGTGGATCCGGCGCTCGATTGGCCTGTTTCCTATTTTCCATCGGCGAAGAGATCCGCTGACCCCCAGCATATGATGAATTAAATGGGTATCACGCCACATACCTTCTATAGAGCATTAATAAATCTGCGGAAATTACATCAAAACCTAGATATTTATCTTCTCCAAATACTAACCTTCAGGACGCAATATACAGCAAAATGAGCATGTGAAATGAAAATTCTGTCCATCCCGTGCGGAAGGGCAACGGAGTTTAGGCAAGCATTGAAGGTCAATTACATAAATGCACAATAATGACGCATTGACCTCCGCTGAGAGCGATTGAAATGATTATCAATTCGAGGCTTACATGTCACCACTTAGGAAGTTACCTCCATAGAATGTTCTATGCTTACAAGTACTGCAAATCCACCAAAGTAATGCTTACCATCTGGAACCCCATTTAATTATTCCAGTAAAGCCTTTTAAGATGCACTATACACGTTTTGATGCACACACTTCCAGAACTTTAATGAAGGTGCTTGACAAAAGGTCCTCCGTAACTTAGCATCGATCTGCCAAGCCGGTGATCACCTACCAATCTACTAAGTTTAATCCGTCTTCCGGACACCAAAGCAACCTGAAAATTGAGTCCTCTAGACAACGTCTCTGACTGTTGTTCAGCTTTGCGGGCAGTTGGACCAAGCGTTTTCGTCTGCAAATGGATCATTTCGTCCTGCTTCAAGAAACCGGCGTATCTGGCAACTCACCTCGCCAGGAGGGGAGGGGAAAGGGGCGAGACTAGTCCGACACATTAAAAAAGCTGGATTCAGAGATGTTTGCTTTGTAATAAGACGTAAACGTACTCGGAGTGCAAAGGCACAGGCCTTCACGATGAGGTCGTTCACAGAGATCTTATTCGGAGCGACGACCTTGTTAACAGCCTTCTGGAGAGCAAAAAGCCTATCAACACGCACTCTGGCACGCGTGTAGGTGTGTGGTATGGTGGCCTTGGATTCGGAGAGGCGTTTTGCAATGGTAGCACGCATACTGCTGACTGGAACGTCCACGAATCCGGCACCAGTCTGAACGGCGGGTTGCGGCTGGGCAGCTACAGGGGCGGCTGCCGGCTCCTCCGGTGGCACCCTCTGAAGGCCCTTGCTCGCAACGTGGTTAAGCACATCGCTATAAGGGGAGAAAGGAAGATAGCACAGCCGCAGTCAGAATAATGAGGTGATGGACAGGAAGAAACATTGTGAGCACATGCTATCCGTCCAGTGAATGAAAGCACATAGTGCAAAAAAAACACTGACAATGATTTAAACCGTACAATTTATTCCGTCTGGGGTACGGAGTGGAGGAAATGATTTTCGTCTTTTACGTAGTACGTGTCAGACAGCAATACAACCAGGTGTCCGTAGGCATGCGTACAGTCAAACAGAAGTCCTATCTACCCTCCCGCGTCTGAGATCAAGTATGAGCCATCAGGTACGGTAGATAACCGGGACTGAACAACACAGACGAATAGACGGAGAACGAGCAGGACAAAAACTACAGAGGATCGGAAATAGAGTAGACTGTGCTATTGACCGCGTGGTGAGTCCTAGGAGATCGCATCAGAATAAGTCTCCGCCGTAGTTACCTCGGTCTCTACTGAAAACTGACGGTGTCGTGAGTGATTCATCGAGCACTAGGGCGAGCTTTAAGAGTTGTCTGGAGTCGGTGCATTTGCTAGACGGGTTGATAGTCTCCAATTCAGAGGACGGGGACATGTCAAGAATACTTTACTGAACAACAATGATGCCAAGGACGGGAACCGCCCGACAGCAATCCCATAAAACGGCATGCCCATCTGCATCCCGCCAAACGCGCTAGATGGCGTAGACTAGTTCCAGGTCAAGAATGTAAACGGCCGACACCACAAACTCCCCTCACCTATCACTCATTCTAATGATGGAGCCCTGGGCAAATGTACTGACGGTTCCGGTGAGCGAGCCCTCATATTATCTTCGACAAGGACTCGAGACTCGCACCATAGTCTCAAGTTTTGCTGGTAAGATGCGGTTATTTAGCCCCACCTGATGAACACAATACTGTTGGGGTTAGGGCAACTATCCCTCAACTACTCAAAGTACAACCACACATCCCCAATAGCTTTTCTGTTGCATACAACTACTTGACCTCGTCGCCTGTGCGTTCTCCGGCCCCACCTGTAAAGACCCCTATTGCCACCGGTCCAATATTACAGGTGGCTGGGGTCCGTTTACTTCAGGTGGAGTTACATAACCACATCTGACCGTTTTGTTTGCCGCTAATCCGTTCGGTCAGCATCAGAATGCAGGAAACTAATATTTCATGCGCGGAGCACCTAAATATTCATTAGACCATCAGGAAAGACTCAATCAGGAAAACGATATAGTACGGCTGTTGGGTGCGTCATGCAGCAGGTGCGCGGTGTGGGCAAACGTGGATCCACCACCGTCAGCCACTGCGCTCGCGTCCACCTTAGGTCTTTTTGATTATGAGTATGGAAGAGGGTATTGCGTAAGCATGATTCACCATAAACAAATTCGCGTGTACGTCATTACTGTGTCCGCTTTAAGACAGTGAGGACTCTCGCCGCTTTTGGTGGTCGAAATATTCTAACCACGTTTTTGTACGGGGTGTAGACAAGGAAACCAGCTAAGAAAGCAACCTTGCTTTCACTTCAACTGCCTCTAGGGGATACTGAAATTGAAGTCAGTGGGTCAGAGGACCACAAGCCCGAAGTGCCGCGGACCAACGGCACAAGCACCCAAACTATCGAGTCTATGCTATTAAGGGCACGGGTTGGTTTTGTTGGACATCTACAGGTCAAGTACAAAGTCACTACGACCAACTCATCCTTCCACATCAAAAAACACAACTACAGGCATCATCGCTAAGACAAAAATCACTCGCCAACATCATCCCACCAGCCGTGCAAACTGTTTCTACTAGTTGCCGTGGCGACCACACATTTGAATCACATTCACACCTGATCATCCACCTTCGAATCCGTTGCAGTGCGCATGGAAAACCACTATCTGGAGTCACGACACACACCGGTCAAGCAAGACTTGCCCATTTACACTGTCTAAGGACATTCTGATACTACATAGGCCTATTCGGTCACATGCGCATATGTGAAAACGGGGTCCGGATCAGTACCATCGCGACCGGCCCACTACGACACCACCATCACAAATACCACGACCTCCGTCCCCTCCACTCTTTATCTTCAAAAGGCAGCAAAGAGAGGAGCGGTCCGAGGCGAAAACATGAACGGAATAGGTAGGCACCCAAGGAGGAGTCGTGAGTCCTGAAAATTCACTGTTGGCTGATGTGGCTGGTCACCCATTTGGCAAATCAACAGTCGAAAAGTGTCACACACAAACAGAAGCGACATCGCGCCACGGCAACTGTTCCTCGCCATCTACTAGACCTTCAACCGCCAAAACTGTCCTGCCTTTCCTTTGCCTGCAGCGGTTCTTCGCTATTGACTACTCGTCGCTTTGCGAAAACCTGCATGCGTTCAAGGCTCGGCGATGCAGAGTAAAAGAGAAACGCCCACCACCCTGAAACAAGGATGGGCCAGTGGACAAAGCCCCCGCGTGACCCAGAACCTCGACAAGCATTCGAAAGAAGGCAGGCTCGAAAGGCAACTTAAATGATAATAAGTTAACCGACCAGTGTTCAAGTCTCAGGTCTTCTCGACCCGGTTTTGGACACTCTAGCCCCTCCCGTTTTTTACACGTAGTACCTGCCCAGAAACCTAGACACTGTGAGGGTTTGATTGTTGCAAGTGACGGCGTCCACNGCTGCTGCAGCAGTTGTGCCGCTCCAATCTCGGATGGGACGACAGGATCGACGCTGAGCACGCGCGACAGTGGTTTAACTGGACGAAACAGTTTCAGGGTCTTAGCAGTGTTCGAATCCAACGCTGTTTGACCCCGGTCGGTTTGGATATTGTCGAGCAGTATCAACTACACGGTTTCTCGGACGCGTCAAACCGCGGGTACGGGGCCGTAGTCTACCTTCACGCAGTGATCAAAGATGGCACTACATTTACGACGTTTGTGTGGGGCAAATCTCGAGTCGCGCCTCTCAAGGTCCAAACCATACCACGGTTAGAACTTACCGCTGCGGTTCTGGTCGTTAAACTAGTGAAACAGGCAGAGTTGGAACTAACATTACCAATTTCTTCAAAGACTATGTGGACGGACTCGATGGTCGTCTTACAACTGATAAGGAACACCACTTCGCGTCTTGAAACGTTTGTGGCTAACCGTATCGCTACCATATTAGGCATATCAGATCCTTCACAATGGCGGTACGTAAATTACGAGACCAACCCAGCTTACGTAGCTTCGAGAGGCGTAGCTGGTGACAGGCTGGAAAATAGTATGTGGCTCACGGGTCCCGTCTTTCTAAGCAAGAAATCAGACGAATGGCCCAAGGAACCAGATCAACGACCCGTTGTTGTTACAACGATATGCGATGCCACCGTAAATGCTGTTCTTTTTGAAGATCACTGGCTAACGAAGCTTTCGGGCTGCGGTAGCTGGAGAAAGCTGCTACGACTTGTTGCTTGGCTGCGACGATTTCAAGTCTTCTTGAAAAATAAGGTCTCACATCAACCAGAAGTCGTCTCCAAGCAACTTACCGTGGCAGACTTAGAAGGTGCCGAATGCGATACCTTGAGGTTGGTTCAGAGACAATTCTTCGAAAACGAGCTTAAATGCGTACACAGCGATCTGCGAAACACTGATTTCAAGAAATTGAAAGCGATCAACAGTCCACTGAAGCACCTTTCACCATTCATCTCCAACGGTCTGATTAGAGTGGGAGGGCGACTTCAATACGCACCGATTCCGTACGAAACGAAACACCCGGTTATCCTCCCGAAAAATCATTTCGTATGTCGGTTAATCGTGCAACATGTTCATCATCTAAATGGTCATGTAGGGATATCACACACCAGTGCCATCCTTCGAGAAAAATACTGGATAATTCAAGGCCAAGCACTCATTAAAAAAGTAGTTGGGTCTTGTTTTGTGTGTCGGCGCTGGCACTCGCAACCCTGTCGACAGTTGATGGCTCCTTTGCCGCTTGATCGACTGGAGCCGTATAACCCACCTTTTACGTTCACCGGGGTCGATTACTTCGGACCATTTCAGGTAAAAATAGCCCGACGATCGGAAAAGAGGTATTGCTGTCTGTTCACATGCCTCAGCATTCGCGCAGTTCACATCGAGGTGATCACAAACATGGGGACTGATTCGTTTCTGTGTGCTTTCGGCAGATTCGTTGCCCGGAGAGGCTGTCCACGAAAAATTTACAGTGATAACGGACCCAATTTCAAAGGGGCTGAGAACGAACTGAAGGAATTGCTGACGAAATGGAACCAGGATCGAATAGCTAGCTCTCTTGCGGAGAAGGGATGCGATTGGATCTTCACGCTGCCGACAGCAAGTCATCGGGGAGGAGTATGGGAGCGCCTGATACGGTCCGTCAGACGGATTTTACGTTCAATTTTGGGTTCGCAAGTGGTCACAGATGAGGTCTTCGTAACAACCATAACCGAGACAGAGAAGATAATGAATGACCGGCCGCTGGTTAAGAACAGTACGGACCCGAACGAGTACGCTGTACTCACTCCCCAACACTTTTTGCTGAGTACTCGGAACCTTTCATCATCTGTTGAGGAATGCAGTCCCTCTAGACTTAACAGACGGTGGCGGCAAGCCCAACATCTTGCTGATATATTCTGGAAAAGGTGGATCACTGCCTACTTACCATCGTTGCAAGCTAGACAAAAGTGGATCGGTGAGGCCCCGCAGCTCCGTATTGGAGATCTGGTCCTTGTGGTCGACAAAGGAGAGCCACGAGGACACTGGAAGAAGGCCATAGTGGAAAAGCTGCTCGAATCAAAGGACGGAAGGGTGAGAGATGTTGAACTGAGGACGCAACATGGGAAATTAGTGAGAGACGTGCGCAGTTTGTGCCTGTTAGAGAACCACGAACCAAGCGATGAATGATATCCGCGCCAACGACAGCCGCAAATTTTGGGTGGGAGTGTACGTTCCCACGTATGTTTTCCCATTTTTATTGGCACATTTTACCACATTCTTCGCATTTTTTGTTTGCCTCGGAAAATTATGGCCTTCTGTTTTCCCCCAACCTTCGTACTATTTGTTTGAATCTCCCGTTTTTCATCCCGCGCAACTTGACGCTGCCCGTCTGACTATACGCCATCTTTCTGACTGTACGCCTGGAGACATTTGGTTGTAAGTGTAACATTTAAACCTTGATAATCATGCCAATTATAGAACCGTGTTTCCGTACAATTCTGCAATTATTTACATCGTTTCCACGTACGGACCGCACGAAGTAAGCCGACTCAGGCGACCGAATCTAGACAGGCTAAAGAGCAGCTAGGTTCAACAGACTCTGTGCGAGTAACGCGAACAGGCAACAGATAGCAGTCGAAAGTACTCCACATAAGCCACCTAATGAGATCCATGCCCTCAACCACGCGTAGCCTTGCCCATACCGCGGGGCCAACGGCCGAGATTTCAATGCGTACACTAGCCTAGCCCTATCGCCTAAAAACAAATAACGGAAAACAGTTCACTTTTGCGACGGATCCTATAGGACGATACATGCAAAGGACGTATCCACGCTATCGGTAAGGAAAAAACCTGCTAAAAAGAACTGACGAGCCTCCATTCTGTCTGGGCCCTGACCGTGCTCGTTCCGGTTTTGTTCGTCCCTCAGGATGGGGCCATGGGATAGCACAATATGTTTTCTGTTTTGCCTAAGAACCGACGCCATCGTGCATGGTTCATAAGTTGTCCGAAACAAATTGTGCTCCCTTTTCACCTTGCTCCGCAAGATCTCTGTTACAACCTTCGTACTGTAGAGGATCTAGGTAAATATTACAAAAAACAGCTCGCGAAGGCATTTAAGCAATTTTGGCGAAGTCTACAATGCAAATTAATCAGTCACGCTAATAAATATATGGCTCGAATGTGAACTGTGTTGCCGAATATTTGTTATTGAAATCACTAAGATTCTCATTAATACGGTTTTTTACATACGAAAAGTGAAACTTATTGCTCCGTCTATTATAAAGAGGAATTTTGACTCTTAATGATGTGAATATTTCTTGGTTTGTTGCCCAGATATTCCCTCTGTGATGGTTTAATAATGAATAAATTCTTCTCGATTTTATCGATAGTGGTTTTTACCCGATTACTGGAAAGCCTCTATTGCCGATACAAGAGATATTCTATATCCGGGAGGTAGTCTGGAAGAAGTAAAAGCGACCGCTGAAAAAAAAAGAGTTTAGCTTGCCTGACTGTCGAGCTCAGCCCGAGCGGGAAAAGCACATAACAATACTTCTCGGATATTTGTCTAGACTACGATTCGTATGCGCACTTGCAAAGGAAAACTTTCGCTCCACCCCGTTCCGATAGAATTCTGCATACAATCGATATCTCCACAGACCTAACTCACGAATACGTAAGTCTTATAAAAAGCTTTTTTCCTCGACAAAAGACGATATTCCAAACTCGGTCACCGAGAAGGTGTCGGACTACCATTATTTGCCAAGTTATCATTTAGCAAGCTATACTTCGAGCAAATTCTTCTAAGAAAATTGGAAGATCTCAATAGTCCATCTAGATTTCAAGCCACGGTCTTTATCCACCGTTAATGACTACCGGAAAGTACGTAAAACTGTGGTTCTTACAAAATATCTTAAAAATGACGGAAGCATTCTTGATTACTGCCTGGCGAATCATCTTCTGAGTCCTAAAAAGCATATACTTTTCCCTGAAATTTCTTGCGAAATTTCCAACTTAGAATTTTCAAATATACCAATTCTCTTCTTGATGAAAGCAGCCCGTAGTAGTTATCTACACTAATTAACATAAAGCTACCAACACTATGCCCATATGCATCTTTTATCAAAACTGGGGGCCCTCGGACTTTGGCATCATCTATTTAACTTCATCGGGTCCAATTAATCCAAACACTGTCTAATTTAATTTATTAAATGCCAGTTTACAGGCAGTGTCAAGGGAAGCAATTAAACACAAATCAGACTAGCATTGAAAAAAAACTCCGGAAGAATAAAAAAATAGTTCATGATGGTTTTTATGGTTTGAAGGGTTCAGGAGAAAAAAAACTGCTGGCGGTAGATTTTCGACCGTCAAAAAGGGGCGGAGGGGGTTGCACGGTATCGGAGATCATCGGACGTCAATTCCTTTCATGAAGTTGGGGATAGTCAAAGTAGAGGCGTTGAGGAACAGCTGGTGAGACCGGCCATAATGTTCAGAGACCACAAACGCCATCGCTACGGTACAGTCGATCAGTAGATTCAGCACCCAAAATTTGTGGGAGCTTTTCTGAATGCAAAAATCGAGTAATAGTTCTCTTAAATAAAGGATAATTTTGCAGAGTTTTCACACTCATGGGTAGTTTATTCCAAATAGCAATTGCATTTACAGAAAAGAACCGACGATATTTAACAGTACGTGCCAGAGGCAGAAATAAGAAGACCTCACGGTGACTGTTACGTCGAGGGTGGATATGATGTCTTAAAGAAGTGAGTGGGTTAAATGTGTGATTATATAAGAGTTTAAATAGCAAAAATAGTCCCTTTTGTAATATACGGAACCATAAAGGATCAAAGCCCGTAAGCCGGCAACGTTCTTGGTAAGACAAATGCGGTGTTCCGCGGCTAAAATTCTCTTGGTAAAAAAGTGTTGAACGGATTCTATTTTCTTCCGCTCAGTAGCACGCATGAGGCTAAATAAAAACGAACAGTATTCCAGACCAGGTCTAACGTACATGTTGAAAAGGCGCATTCTGATGTCCCTAGTTTTAAAGTTTCGGAGGATAAACCCGGTCGTTCTACGTGCTTTGGAGACTATCAAGGCACAGTGCTCCGAGAGATTGAGACTCTTGGAGTTTGATACGCCCAAATCCTTTATAACGCCTGGCACATTTATGGAGTGACCTTCAATATTTCGTTGAGGTTGGTGGTCATCGCCAACCACCATGACTGAGCACTTATGCCAAGAGAGAGAAAGGCGACATGTGCGGCACCACTGGGCGAAAGCCTGTAGATCGCTCTTTAGGAGCTCAAGCACGATGTCACGATCTGCCGGCTTATATCGATATGCAACTTTAAGATCATCGGCAAACATGAAAGGCTTACCATTCTGAAATAAATCGGGTACATCATTAACGAAAAGGTAAAATAAAAGCGGGCTGAGTACACTTCCCTGAATGACTCCACTCCTCACACGTGTGGGGTTGGAGATGGTATTGGAAATCTTAACTCGTTGTGTACGAGTGCCCAGGTAAGAGGATATAAAATTCAAAAGTTTGCCACCTATTCCGAAAGAGGACAATTTCAAGAGGAGAAGAGCATGGTCAACACGATCAAAAGCCTTAGTGAAATCGAAATATACAGTGTAAAGTGCAAAACCATTGTCCATAGAGAATATATACTTGCTTATACGCGACCTCTACATGAATAACGGATTGAGAATTCCTAACTGCCGACTGTGTGCGTTGTTTGTTTTTGCTTCATCCAAACTTTTTGGGATTGATCGACAAAGAAATTCTCGATCCATTTTAGAAGTTTGCCTCAGTTGACCATGACTCTCGGCTTGTACAGGAGACGCTGGTGCGGAACACTGCCAAATGTCTTCCGGAAATCGATGTAGACCACATGCACAGCGTGGTTTGCACAGGGTTCTCTTGTCCAGCTTTGAGTTGCGTATAAGAAGTTCATTACACATGATTTTCCCCCACGAAAGCCGTATTGTGCACTGGGCAACAAGTTGTGTGTTTTCAAATATGTCACTAATTCGTTTTCGGTCTTTTCTTTAACCTTGCAGCAGGTTGATGTTAAACCAACGGGCCTGTAGTTCGTTGAAATTGCAACACCATCGCTTTTGCAAGGCGGTGTACTGTGAAGTGTTTTCCAGTTTGTGGGAAGAATTCCGGCATTAAAAGATTTCTGGAACAAAAAGTATAGTGGTTTGGCCAACTCTCGGCAAATTTAAAGAGTAGATTTACTGTCATTCATTGAAGCCTTATATTTCCTCGAAAATCGTTTCATATGGAAACACAATATTTTTTAATAATCAACTCTCACATGCTCTCATAAGTTGGTGGAGTAAAAACTACTTCCCTTGTAAAGACAGACTAAAAGAACTGGCAAGAATGCACAGCTCCCTTTGTGCTGTTCGGTATCTCCGAACCGTGATCATTCATCATGACTGGAATCGGATCCCTGTCACGAGCGCTCTTTCGGAAGTAGCTGTAGAGCAAGTTTGACTTGTTACCGGCTCGGTATTGCAAATTACCCTCGAAATCTCGTCGTTTTTTAAGCTCAGGCATTATCTCCTCTTCCCTTGAACTTTGTTTTCCGTAAAGACTGCATTTTCGTTGTTTCCCCAAAACTTCCTCCACAGCTATCCTTTCTTGTTGCTCTCATTTTTGAGATCTCGCGTTAGCCAATAAGGTCAATTGGATGTCCTGGGCATTGATAAGGGACAGTGATTCTACATTAGATACAGCAACCGATCACTGAGTAGGTTCCAGTTCTCGTCATCGTTTCTGAAGAAAAGAACATTCCAGTCTATTTTTTTGCCGCAGCTCTCATTTGGCAAAATTCCCCTTGCCTTAAGTTTGGCCTCGTCTCGTTTAGTCATACGGCGCAGAATACAGTTCCTAACCGCATAAAAGTGCTGCTTGATCACTTCGACCGAGTGGAGGTAGGCAGTACACCTCGTGCACGCTGTCAGGATCTTAAGTGAAGACGAGATCCATACAACTATCCCATTGGCCTCCACGCGCCCTAGCTGGAAATAAAACATGTTGCGTGAGAAGAGTTTCTAGTGTTGTTTTTATGGGACGGTAATGGAATGAATGTAGGGTGCATTAAAGTTTCCCATGCGGACAACGTCCGGTCGACTGCCCATATATGCTTGCTTTCCACTAGAAAAGTATCCGTGCCAGGATCCGTCCATGATAGTCGGTAGATAGTTACATCTTCGAAAGAGTGCATTACCCCTGTTTTGCAGTCAGCAAAATGGCCTACGTATTGTCGTCGGGGTGGCCGACAGTGTGTAAAGTGCAAAACCATTGTCCCTAGATTGGAGAACATAGTCAAAGAAAGAGAGTTGACAGGTGACACAAGATCAAGCTTTGAGGAATCCATGCTGAGCAGCACTCAGCAAGTTATTCACTGTTAAGTCACACATCATCTTATCCTTGATCAATGTCTCTAAGATCTTCGAAACTGCGGGGAGGGTGTTTATTGGCCGAAAGTCATCAAATGATGTAGATTTGCCGTGCTTAGGAATGGACAAAATGTGTGATTCCTTCCACAAGATAGGATAGGTTTCAGTTTCAAGAGCAAGATGAAATATCTCGCATAAGAGGGATGGGAAGATCGTGTTTGCATCGGCTTTTAAAATGCTTACTGGGACACCATCAGGGCCTGGACTATAAGATTGACGAAAGCGCCGAATCGCAACAGTCACATCCCACAGAGTGAAACTTATAGTTTCTAGAACTGCCCCGGTCAATGGCTGGATGGTCTGAAGCGGAGTGGTCGAGTCTTCAATAAACGTTTTGGACAGGAAATCATTGAAGCTATGCGCGGTTAACTGGGCATCAACTATGGGATTTCCGAGATCGTCTCGAAGGATTGGATACTGCGTCTTACTCCGAGTTCGTATTTTTCTAGACAAAAGTTACGAGACACTTAACGAATGGCAAAGGTAGGAAAACCTCATCCCCATCATTATACTTTTAGGACGACATTTCGTCAGCCTCGAATTAAACGTTGAAACAACTATGTCATGGTCTGAGACCCCCAGTGGGCCTAGGGATGACACTGACGATGGCAAGCAGCCTCTACAGAAAATTAGGTCAAGTATACTTGAGCCTCGGGTGGGAAAATCGACAACCTGAGTCCACATCCCAACATCCACAGCCTCAAGAATGTCATCGAACCTTCTGGGGCCTGAAGGCGGAGACCAGCGGACTTCAGGGAAATTAAAGTCACCCGCAATCAATTGATACTTAAAGCTTGAGTCGGCCGCAGCATGAAATGCCTGTGAGAGTAAACGATCAAAATTGTCGTTGGCGTTGGGAGGGCGATAGACGCAGCCAACGAGTAAGGAGAACTGATTTTTTAGTGCAACCTGGAGCCAGCAGCTGCCTTCTACTGAGGAAAAATGTGGGAGTTTTAACGGCAAAAATGAAAGTGTTTGCTTAACGTAGACGCAGCTGCCCCCACCACGGCTATCTTGGCGATCATTTTGGATGCCATTATGGCCTAGAAGAGAGAGTTCGGAGTCAGCTACTGAGGTTGATGCCCACGTCTCAATTACTAAAACAATATCTGGACAATGGACGAACACCTGAGTCTGAAGCAAAGGCATCTTATTAAGCAAGGATCTGGCATTTAAAACAAAAAGTTTGAAGGGAAAGGCTGTTAGTTTTTGAGGGAGGTGGGCTACATCGTCCAGTTCTGGGCTGCCCACGGAGCAAATGGTTCGGATTCAACCATCCGGTTCTGCAAAATATTTTGTGGCATCAAAAAATTCTGACGTGGATAAAAAGGGGTAGGACTTGGGGGAGGGAATGACGGGCAGGTAAACTGGTAACCATTGTTAGCTAACTTATTTTCAGCTGGAAATCCGCGGGGCAGATACTGCAACGTATTCCCGCCGGAACGAAACTGAGGATCGGATGAGTTAACTGATTCATTATGGACATTATCACGAGGAATAAATTGGTAAGACGGCCGTGGAGGAAACAAGTTATGGGGTGGGGGACGCATTGTTTCCTTTGGAGCAAGAGTTTTATTAAACGGCGGAAAAATCAGAATAATCGACCTAAATGCTTCAATATGAGGGCTGGGGGGCAGTTGCGAACCCGCTACGTTTTGAGTCGGGGTATTTGAGGCACTGTTAGCCGATTGTGGAGGAAAAGATTTTATAATGGTGCTGGATTTATTGGGTGTCCGAGTGGCTGAGACAGCAATTTGATTTGCCTTTGACTTAGACACATGCTTAGGCTTACTAGGGGTTGCTGGGGGAGTTGATAGAGGCGTGTTTATACCAGGCGTGATGGTGTGTTTAAAGAGCTCAGCATTAAAAGTAGTCGAATTCCCTACGGAATTGACTATGCCGTGACTTGCAGATGCCGCAGGTGGTGTTGTAGAGGACAGACTGACAGTAGATGTCATTATCTTGGTGTTGGTTTTTGTCGATTTTAGTTTATTCAGTCTTCGCTGCAGGGGTGTGTGGTCTGGCGAAACAGAGCAGCGCCATTTACGGCAGAAGTCTCCAGTCATCTCCCTACTCGACAAGATAAAATCGACTTCTATCATGGAGAAAAGGTTAACTAGTATCGGCGCATGACGGCTAAGCGAGCGAAATCGCTTAGCTTGTGCGACACTGAAACTCAAGCCACAACTTTGTAGGAACAAATGCGCTCCCTCCATAGCAGATAAGTGACTCGGAATGTTTCGCAGTACGAAATTATGCTTGCGTTTAATTCGTTCCTCAGTTTCCGAACTTATTACCCCAATAAGTTTAAAAGCTTGTTCAATTACTTTTTCAGAAGGGCTGTTTATGTCGCCATATATCAACTGATCAAGTATTTCGTCGGCTGATGGCCTGCTACGACTAGCAGAGGCGTATTTTTGGACGACTGAAGGATCGAGAGGTTCTACATGTACTAAAGGGATTTGTGAGTTAATCAGATCTGCAGACGGTGAGGAACATACGCTGGCACCTGCTATGTCTTCAGTCACGATTTTAGCACCCAAAGACGGTGGGGAGGCCGCAAGCTTTCGCCGTTTAGCACGTGCTCTGCGGGGCATTACAGACAGGAAAATTTTTTCGTTAGAGAAGAAGGATCAAAACGTTGCCAACGTACGGAAAAGCGCATTGAAGAGCAAGTATTACTTTTTTTAACTACAAAAACTAGAAGTCGGTAGTAGGGAAAGGATTCACTACAAAGGTTTTTTTTACAAAATACGACTATTTTGCCAGACTGTCAAATAAAACTGGGAAAAACTATACCTTGTATTGAAAGGCGACTTTTAAAAGGGACTCAAGTAAAAAACAGGCATTAAATACTTAAGAATATCCAGATAAATGCAGAGCTTCACATATCTTTAAAATTGAGCTGTGCGCCTTGACCTTGTTTCAGTCTCTGTCCCCATTGTTACACTACATCTAGCCCCCCTCGTTCATGTATTGACGCTCTCACTCCAATAAACGGATATCTTGTCACGCGTAATTAGTCCATTTGATTCCACAACATCTTTGTTCTACGTCTAGAAGCTCGCTATCTTTTGCGTTCGAGTATGCTTTCGTTTGGAATAATCATCCCCTAAAACCTAGGTCGTCACCCAAATGGTCTCCATTCAAACTTAAGTTACCAAGCCACTTAACTCGAGAAAGTATAAAACCACAAGATCACTGGACTTTGAAAAGGGTCATTCTGGTATCTAATCGAAGAGAATACACGCTTTTCTTGTTCTAATGCAAACTCTCAACTAGATTTTTACAACTCCATGTTTTTAACTGGTCACCAAACCCAATGTTTCTACTCCTCTTCTGCATCGATGACTTTCGCAGTTTTTTGATATCATCTTTTCCTTTCGTCCCTGAGATATCTGTTGTCGTCACGGCGAACCCCACTGTTTTCGCCATCTGCAAGCAGCTTGGTCGGTTAGCAAGGAAGAGTCATGGTTTCATTTGCCCGTACGCGTTGGTGACCGCCACAGCCTTTAACGTCCCCTCCTTGGCTAGTCTCTAAGCAGACTGTGACCGAACGTGTTTAGAAATTTATTCTGAGTGCGAATGTACGAAATCGTCATACATAAATAGGGTCATCAGGGGCTCTGCCTCTAATCCTTCAAATACATACATCGATACCGCAGGCCACATGCACCCTCTCTAGCACGCTGTCAGCATGACGGTGACGTCCAACCACCGCCCCACGTGTGCGAGAAACCGATCAGCTCGTCTAGAATTTTCTTCTCTAAGCGCATTGGACCGCATGCAGGTGAACCCCAAAAGGGTGTTATAACCATGCAGATTACTAATACACTTTTTCGCGACCGGTCGTGTTCTCCCTCTCTGTCGCACTGGTATCGGGGACAGTAGTCGAGTGTGCATACGCTTCGCGTGATTTCTGAGTACCAGGCCGGGTCATTACAATTTGGCGACGCATTTCTCAACTACAGTGACTGACGAGTATGCCGACTTGAAGCCAATGTTGCAGCAGCAGCCGCAGCAGCAGCGGCAGTTGAAGTTGATGGAGGCACTGACCGTTAAGCTGTCCAACTCGTCTATGGGTCAATCAAGCGCGGCTAGTGGTTCGCAATCTGTTGATCACATTGCCGGCAGCATCAATGAATTCCCGCATTATCCGCGGGGGCATATCACTTATGATCCCTGATACAAGCGTTACGAGGGCTTGTTATCTGTCGATATGGCTGCCCAGGACGATGCATGGAATGTACGACTCATACTGCGCAAACTGGTCCCGGCTAAACACGAGCGTTATATTAATTTCCTCCACAAGAACCCCCGAGAGGTCACATTCCCGGACGCGGTTCAGGCATTGTCGCAGATTTCTGGTGAGCAGTCATCCCCGTCCATAGCTATATTTTAATGCCCATAATTGTGCAAACAGGAATTCGACGATATAATCGCGTGTGCAGGCATTGTCAATCGTGAGTGTGGGCGTTTTCAACTCAGTTCTCTCACTAAAGTCCAGTTTACATACCTTCTTTTTATTTGCGGCCTCTATTCCCCCAAGGATACTGACATCCGGGCGCGTCTCGTTTCCAAAGTCCAACAGAACAACCCAATCACACTCCAAGTGCTGGCGGCGGAATGCCAAATGCTGATGAACCTCAAGCACAACTCCGCCATAACCCAAAACCCCGCCACATTTGACTCAATCCATACGGTCTCAGCCATTCAATCGCATCCTGTTGCGCGGCGCAAACAAGTGTCCAAGGCGAGATCTCCGCCATCCCCTTGTCGGCGCTGTTACGCACGGCATTTTCATCGAGATTGCATCTTCTCCAGCATCGCCGACAATATTGTAACCAGGTGAGACACCGTCACGGGTCTCGTAAATCAACAGCGGCCTTTGGAAACAAGCCCGCTCCAGCCACTTCTAAGTCCAAGCACCGTTTCCGGTCAAAATGCGAGTCCAAACCCCAGTCCGTTGGAAATCCTCTCAGTCACTTGGCTACATTCCAGCTCAACGGGGATGGTCATAAGAAGTTTGTTGACGTCATGCTGAATAGCCAAACAGTCTATATGCAGTTGGACACTTCCTTAGACAGCATCATATTCTCCGAGAGACCCTGGCAGTCCCTTAGCAGCCCCACGATACGGCAGCCTTCCTAGTCCGCCACAAGCGCGTGCGGTGGTCTCGTCCAACTAATGGGGCACCTGCAATGCTGTGTCTCGTTCCGTGGTACCAGACTCACTGCGATCTGCTATGTCATTAAGTCTGACCTTAACCTACTTGATCTTGACTGGATTGAACAACTTAGTTTGTCCGACATGCTGCTTCGCGTTCTTTAAAATCAGGTGGAGATTCCCGCTGTGTATGCAGACCAAACCAGGGAAGTTCCCCAACAGTTTTCTCCAGTGTTCCAGGACGGCCTGGGTCGTTGCACACACACTCAAACCGTGCACTACTTAACTTCCTGAAGTCGACCGGCCTTTTGTCCAAAGCGACCAGCCCCATATCCGGCCTGCACCAAAGAATGTATCGCAACTTCGTTCTTTCCTCTGCCTGATCACCTACTATGGCGTCTTCCTGCTATCGCTGCGTGACTGAGGGGCCACGTTCAGCCGTTTGTTGCAGACGAATGCTCTCTGGTTCTGGTCTTCCGATTGCAAAAAGGCCTTTGATCGGTTGAAGTCGATACTGAGTTCAGATCAGCTGCTCACACACTACGACCCGACGCTGCCGATCGTTGTTTTTGCAGATACTTCCAAGTACGGATTTGAAGCCGTCAACTCACTTACTTTTCCTGACGGGTTTGTAAAGGGGATCATGTTTGCATCTCGCACGCTAACCCCTGCGGAAAAGAATGACAAGCAAATGAAGAAAAAAGTACTGTCCCTTGTGCTTGCCGTCAATAATTTCCACAGGCTGCTATACGGTCCTCATTTCACGTTGTTGACGGATCACGAACCGTTGCTAACAACCTTTGATTCGAGGAAAGGCATTCCTGTCTGTTCATCCAGCCGACCTTAGCGATGGACAGTCATTCTTCTTGGCCACGATTTCCTCATTCTCTACTGCCGTACTACCGACTTTGGTCGGACCGACGCCCTTTTTTTCTCATCTGCGATCACCAGGGGCCTAAGCAAGACACTGATATTGCCCCTATTTCGAATGAGAACGATGTGCGTCATCAGCCTTCAGGCGCTATACGTGACGTCCCTGCCACTGCTGCTGACATCCGACGTGCTACTGAACAGGATCCTGTCCTCCGTTCAGCTGTCACCTACGTGCAGACCTGCTTGCTGACAACTGCTCTCGCCAGCGATCTTCATCAGCTCTTCCTGCGCCGAGCATCGCTATCTGTGGTTGACTCCTGCTTAATGTTTGCGGACCGTGTGGTGATCTCATCTTCACTTCGACCTGTTATACTACGCCAGTTTTATGCGGCTCACCCTGTCACCAGCCCAATGAAGTCAACTGCTCGCAGTTTTGCTTACTGGCCGGATATCGACAGCGACATCGATGTCCTGCATTGATTTCCGGAAGGTTTTGGACAGGGTTCCGCACCTGCGTCTCTTGTACAAGTTGAGAGTTATGGTCATCGGCGGCAAGCTTCTCAAGTGGATTGAGAATTTCCTCCTCGGCCGTTCCCAAATTATCTGCGTAGAACAACAGCCATCAAGACGCACATTCATAGAGAATGGATTCCCACACGGTTCAGTTTTCGGACTAACCCTCGTTCTCTCGTTCATCAATGATTGTGTAGATGGGTTGGACTGTGATAGTGCCATGTTTGGGGATGACATAAAAATCTGGAAAGTCATCCAGAATGCTGCCGATGAAACAAACTTCTAAGAAAATCTTTGTCGATTGGACGAGTGGTACCGCAAATGGCTCTTATCCGTCAATTTGTACAAATGTACCATACTGCATCTTTAAAATCAGACCCCTAGTACGCGGCGATACCATCTGAACGGAATGCCACTCCGAGGAGCAGGAACACAGAAAGATTTCGGAGTCTGGGTTGTAGACAGCTTAATGCCTTCTACACAATCTGGTAAGGCGGCCAAGGCCGCAACATCAATGTCATATGCCATCAAGCGGGCATTGGCAGTTTTCGATAAAGACTGTTTCTCCAAAGTGTTCGGCACGCTTGTAAGGCCGCATCTCGAATATGCAATTCAGGCCTGGAAACCGTGGACGCATCAGAATTACAATCTGCTCGAAAGGGTGCAGAGACAAGCAACAAAATTAATAAGAGGTCAAAATGCACTACCATAAGAGATCCGCTTAAATAACCTTAAATTATATCCTCTGAGTTATACGCATTTGCGCGGAGGCTTGATACAAACATTCCGTATCGTGCTTGGCTTGGACTGCGGTTTCTTTTACCTAAAAACAAAATCTCAATTCGCGCTCTATTGGCTAAACAGACACCCAAAACAAATAAAGTCAAAGTGCAGTCGAAATGGATGAGTTGTTTTAGGTTTTTTCGTGTGCTCAAGGGAGACGGACAGTGCCCAAGGGGCGCTATAATAAACCTATTCTATTCTATAAACAAACACTGAATACTACAAGGCTTATTTATTCGTTCCAAGTTTTGGTGATGTTTGT